TCTTCCACACTTTTCATCTCGGTCTGTTCCACAAGTCCTTCAGCACTCCATAAAGCTTTCAATTCAGAGATTATAAGATCTTCGTCCTTTGAATAGCTTGCAAGGTAAAGCAAGCACGGCTTGAGGTGATCTGCTAAATGGTCATAACTTAATTCTATGACCTTCATCACTTCCTCTTCATCCTTAAAAATAAAGGAATTCAAATTATTTAGAATTTCAAACCACAAAATCTCATCCTTTTCCTTCCTTGCAATGACTCGACCGATCAGATCAAGTACCAACGGGAGCCCTTCACACCTTAAGGCTATTCGTTCTCCAATTTCCAATAGTTCATCAGGGCAACTTTCTTCTCCGAATACCCTTTTCTCTAATAACTCCCAGCTTTCTTCTAGTCTAAGCAATCGAAGATAAAGAGGATCACTGCAACATTTTCCTTCCAAAGCCACTTCCTTTTTTTGACTTGTTAGAATAATTCTACTTCCTCTCTTAACCTTAGGAAAAGCCATTATTAGCTTATCCCATTGTATAGTATCCCACAAGTCATCCAAGACAATAAGGTACCTCTTTCTAAAGAGTTCTGTCTGTAGCTTTTCAGCAATGTCATCATCTATGCCATCTTCACTGAATCTTTCTTTTAAACCAATAACCTGATTAAATATTTTTTGCAACAACTTTTTCACATTACGTTCTTGGCCGACTAAGCACCAAGCACGTACGTCAAAATGATCAACAACAGACTTATCATTATATACTCTATAAGCCAAAGTAGTTTTCCCAAGGCCTGGCATACCAACTATGGAAATGACATCTACCTCAGCTAGTCCACCGGTGAGCTTCTTAATTATCCACTCTGTCTCCTCCTCAAAACCAACAATTATTTGACCAGCTCTTGATAACTCGCTAGTTTTAACTGGCTTGTTGGGAGAGTTTACAACAATAAGACCCCTGTTCTTGGAGATCATCTCCGGTACTTTTTTTTTTTTTTTGATAAGTTTGATCTTTTCTATGATATTGGGAAGTAAGAAGATCATATGCAATAGACCATGATCTCTAACAAGAATTGATTTAATGGCATGTTCCACCTCATATGCCACATCTAGAACACGAGTCCAAAGATCTCTATTTAATTCTTGCTCAACATTCCCGAAGAACGATCTTATGAATTCTAGGTCTTCTTTCACTAGCCCAATTTCTTCCTTTATCAAAGAAACTGAACAAGCATTGGAAGTGAGCAAGTCATTTAAGTTTCTAAGTAGAAGAGTCATGAAAAGTGGTCCATCACTCAAGGGGAAGCAGAGTTGAGATGAGTCTACAGGGGCTTTCAAGAAAACGTGCTTGAGATCTTCCTTCAGGAGTTCAATATTTTCTAGGAAGTCTAGACATGCACAGTGTATTTCATTCATATTCTCTTCATTCCTTGAGTTCTCTTCTAAGTCGCGAACAAGAACGGATACCTTCCTGGTAAGTGCTCCAACACGTGCCAAGAGGATAGACAATTTGTCTTGATGAATAACACCCTTGGGCACATCAGTTAGTATAATCAATAGGAACTCTATCATGACATGAATATTTCGAGCTGAAGTGCTAGCAGTAAGAAAAATTACCATCATCGCTTGTAGATGAAAGAGATATTCTCTAAGAATGTCTGGAGAGGTTTCTATGAGCTGCTTAATGAAGCGTCCAACTTCTTCGGACTTTGAGCTTTCAAATTTGTAGAACATATGTGCCTAACCTCCAGTTCAGCAGGAATAATCTCCACAAGTAGATGAGCTAGCATGGAATTGACTCGAGCTACATCAAGTGTTAAATCAGAATCATCTGAATCATATGTTTCGTCAGAATCATATCGTTCACCAAATGAATTGACCAAAAGATACAAACAAAATTGTCCTACTTTCTCAGCCATAAGTTGAAACTGAGGTAAAACATGTTCAACCATCTCATGCTCAACGCAACCATTTACTTTCAAGAACCCCCGACACCGTGGTTCGTAGCCACGTGCTCTAATCCTCTGAGCTACAGGCCCCACCCCGTCTCCACTGGATCTGTTCATGGAAATCTCTTACATTACCACATACATTCTGAAGAACCTCATATTGAGACATTAATGGGAAAATCAACTCTGCACAACACTTGGGTATATAATGGAGATTCACGAGGAGGGCATCCAAAAATTCAACCAACTGATCGTCAGTCATGGTGGCACTTGATTTAGAATAAAGATTTGAGCTGACATAACTTAGAACGTTTTCAAGGAGGCGAGGAATGACATGATCCTTTAATTTAACCTGCATGTCATCTCCACTCTGATGAAAAAGTAGTGACTGAACAAGTTCATGAACCTCATATGACATGCAAGACGTTTCGGCATCAAAACCATCCAAAATGAAATAACAGAGCTGAAAAAATGCCGGCATATATGTCAGCTTATCAATTTCGTCCATGTCAAGAGCAGTTTGATCACGTCCATTCTTTAATCTTTCTATGAAATCCAAAAGATTGAGAATGTCCTTGAGAAATTCAGCAAATGAAACCTGCTAAAATACCAAATGTTGTATCAAATTATCAAAGCCTCATATTTACCTTGACAATTTTACTCAAAATTATTAGGCAACACACATAAGTGCAGAGGACCCTCTTCAAAATAGCCTACTGGATAAGCTAAATGTTTGGCATGAAGTTACATCTTATATCACAAATCAAGCATGGTTTACTTTGTGTATGTTATTTATTCAAGATAAAGGTGAAACAAGTTCAACAGTAACAAAGGAAAAAAGTACTTCCAATTTATCTTTCGTATGATCAAGTCTACTGATCTATCCATCCACATAACTAGTTAGTTACCCGGTGCAGTGAAGAAGCTTTTATTCTATTTGATAGATTACTTCACAGAGAATGCACTAAAGAAGGATGGATGATTTAGTGAAGAAATTCCTAAACCATTTTCTGGAGGAAGAGATGAAAACCTAAGTTGCGCGGACTCTTTGATTTTGGTGTTGTCCCCGTCCCTATACGAGACGGGGACGGGAGCGGGATACGTCCTGAATTCGGTCAACTGACTTCGGACACTTTGACCGGAGTCCATCGACAAATTTTGGAGAAAAATTGAGATTTTGCTTTTTCAAAATCAAAAATAAAACAGATTTAGGGGAATGAAAGAATAATGTCCATCTTTTTTCTTTTTCTTTTTTTTTTTTTTTGTCCATCTTGGAGAATGAAAGATTGAATTCTACAATATTCATGTAAGTTTTTCACAAAATATCTCTCAAAATTTACAATATTTTTATAGCTCTATTTTTTATTAGCCGAATCCCCGCACTCGTATTCATATTCGGATCCGCATCCCCGACTTTTAAATTTAGATTTTGCCGAATCCGATACTCGAATCCGTCCCCGTATCGGATACTCGCACCCGAACCCGAGCAACTTAGATGAAAACAGGTGTACCAATAAATCTCGTGACTGACAAAATCAAAGATAAGAAAAATATAACAGATCCTAATATTTAGGCTCAAGGATGATCGTTTGTTCTTGAGTTTGATTGATCAATATTTTACTTGATGCTTAATCTTGAATTTGATATGAGCACTATGATTATATTATCACCATCACCACTAACAAGAAATTTTTATCTTGAATACTCTAATTTGATTTGTATTCGTTCTTGATCTTCGAATACTTGAAACTTGTGTAAAAATGCTTCAATAGTTGCAACTTATAGAGAAATTCTTGAAATTTTTATCTTCGGCGCTCTCTTGCTTCTTCTTGTTGTGAATGTAACCCCTTTATGTAGGTATGAGCTAGGCTGCTAGCCTCCAAAAGTTTATGTTGAATGCACTTAGTAGGAACTTAAACTTCAGTAGCTTTAATCATGGAAGCATCTCTTTTTTTTCTCCTGTTATTCCTTCCTTATTTATTTTTAGTTTTTGTTGCTCCACCTTTTATTCTTCCTCAATGTCTTCTCTGTTTTTGGAGTTTACTTTCGTTTTTCTCCTTTCTTTTTAAGTTTCTCTTTTCTTTTCCTAGGACCTTCCCATTTAACAACTTAATATAAATATAGTGGGAAGTACTTTTTTACTTTACACTTTCATAGTCTTTGAATAATGTAAGTTAGGAATTACCTCTTTGCTTATTTAACTAAAACTATTCTAACTAAAGGTATCTAAATTAAAATTTTATTTTTAATATGCCTTTTATTAAATATATATAGCTTTTTAGTTTTTCTTTTCTGTTCTATCTCTTTTTTAATTTCTTTTCCTCCTCCACCTGACTAGCAACATGGCCGATGGCACCACCGCGTTGCAACTTCCAAATTTCTCTGCCACTACCACAAGCCGTATTTAGCAAACCCCCCCCCCCCCTCCCTCCCAAAAAAAAAAATAATCCATCAAGAGGCCACCCTATACCCAATTTCAAAATCAACAGTAAGCCACCAAAACAACGTTGAAGCACCAAGTTGATGTTGGAATAAATGGATCTATGATCTATAAGGAGAAAGCTTGTGGAAAAGAAAGCATTTTGCAGAAGATGGATGATGAAGAAGAAAAGCTAAGGTTGAAGACGGACAAAACTAAGACACAATCCTAATTTTGACTACACTAAGGCAGTCAATGAGCCACGTGGCTTCATCTCAGCTGCTCAAAGTTATGTTGATAGATTAAATCCGGTCCGTCCAAATTACACTCAAAATCTGGAAGATTCTCACATGCACGTAATGTGTCATTTAAAGAAGGAATGATGTGTTAGTTATTTTGTTAGACACACACAAGTAGTATTAGGACAAGTGTACAAATTTCATAGGCCATTCTTTTATTCCTTTTGTTTCTTTTCTAGAAATACATGTATATAAATAGAGGGTCCTTGTACAGATGATACTATTCAGAAATACAGAAAAGTTCTCTAATTATACTCTCAATTTTTTTCATGGTATCAGAGCAGTAGCTCTTCTTCCTCGTCTTCTTCTTTTCTTTCTCCAGATTTTCTGATCTTCTTCTTCAACTATGGCTCCTGGTTCAGATGTCAATGAAACTCCACTCACACACACCCCTTCTTCTTCAACAACAACAGGCAATGGAAACTCCATTGATTCTACTCATCCTTTCTTCCTTCATGCTTCTGATGCACCAAGTATGATACTGGCGAACACACCATTTGATGGTCGTGGCTATGCTGGTTGGAGTAGATCCATCCTCATCTCATTGTCAGCTAAGAACAAATTGGGCTTCATTGATAGCTCATGCCCTATGCCACCTCTTACAGATCCTAATCACTCAATCTGGAGCAGATGCAACCACATGGTAACCTCTTGGTTATTGAATTACCTCACCAAGGTCATTGGTGACAGTGTTCTCTACTCAAAAACTGCTAAGGACCTTTGGTTAGATCTGGAGCACAGATTTGGGCAACCTAATGGTGCCAAGCTATACCACCTGCAAAAGGAACTTGCTGATTTAGTACAAGGAACTGCTGACATTGCTACTTATTTCACTAGAATGAAACGACTATGGGATGAAGTAGACACTCTTTTCGAAGAGAGAGAAAGAAACCTCCCTAACTCAGAAAGGCCCAGACTGCGCTGAGGAAAGAATGGCACTTTACAAATAAGAAGAGGGGCAATGAGAGCAGAGAAAGAAAGCTAACCTAAAGGTAATTATTTCTCTAAAGGGCGACGCAAACGTGAAGGTCATTTTCCTTACTGGCACTGAAAACCTTCAAGGACAGGCGTAAAGCCCTCCTCACTGGTTGGCAGAGACCCTATTCGATCGTATGGACCTATTCCCATTTATGGCACAGTATCCCAAGCAGTAAGGCTCTGTAGAGCTAGTCTCCCTTGAGACCTGCTGCCGCAAAAGCTCTTTCTGCTGCTCCTTCGCCTGCGGATTAAGCTGTAGAAGGCAAGCAAGCAAACCTTGGCAACTGGCAATTTCAAGGATCAGGGGAGGTATGAAATGGTTATCTCGGCTGGGAATCAAGCCCCAACACAAAGAGCTGTGGGCCAGGTTGCTTTGCTTTATCGGATCAATCAGTGTGCAGTGGGCAAGCTCTTTCCCAAGTCGCTGAGCTGTTTAACAGAGGGAAGGTCAAAGAGCTGTGGGGCTAGGAGTGTTCTCAATCTTAGCATTCCGAGACAAAGCCTGGGTCGTCGAACTAAAGAATCTCAGCATTGGCCATAAAAACGCGTTTGAAGGCCTGTTTCTGGGACTGATAGGGAGGGGTCTAAAACTTTAATTTCTGCTATATCAACCTTCCAAACCAAAAGGGGATTCCGCTCCTACCGCTAAAGCATTGTTTCGGCCCCTGCTTCCAGAAGAGTTGGTGCAAAAGTCATTGTAGTCCAAATAGCGTATTTCCGGTTAGGGGCCTAAGACTCACTAAAGCAATTGTAGCTATTCACTCCTTCTAGTTCTAGTGAATTTCGCTCCAAATAGCATAAAAAGAAGCTTGAGTTCAATTAGGGGGGAACCCTCTGTAGTCAACCTGCTCCCAATGAAGAGGTAAGGGGCGTAGCGATGAAGTCGAACAGGGTTGGTAAATTCACCGGGTGACTCGAAAGCAGGCTCTTAAAGACCACTCCTAGCGCGTCAGTCATTTCGCTCCCAAAGAGCTCCCTAAAAACGTTGCCAATATCGANATTGAAGCCTAGTGTCACAGAACCTAGAACCCTGTCTTCCAACATTGCAACTTCTTTTTCTAGTTCAGCTAATAGATTGTTGCCTGCATCTTTTTCTAATTCTATTTCAGCTTCTTTTCCTTTTCCTATTTTAGCAAAATCAGAATCTGATGTAAAACTATGGCATGTAAGATTGGGGCACTTGCCTTTCAATGCAATGAAATATATCAGTTCCATTTCATTTGTTTCTAACTCTAGTTATCATTGTGATGTTTGTCCATTAGCAAGACAGTCTAGATTACGATTTCCACTCAGTCATATCAAAACAAAACAACCTTTTGAATTAATACATATTGACACATGGGGTCCTTATAGAACTCCTACTCATAATGGATACAAGTATTTTCTCACTATTGTGGATGATTTCAGTAGAGCCACTTGGACTTATCTACTGAGCACAAAGGGTAGTGCATTTTCAGTTCTAAAATATTTTTTGAGTATGGTGGAAAGGCAATTTAATTCTAAGGTCAAGATTATCAGGTCAGATAATGCTCTAGAATTGGGAAGCAGTACTGCAGCTTCATTGTTCTTACTGTCACAAGGTATTTTGCATCAGACTTCATGTGTGGGAACTCCTCAGCAAAATGGCATTGTGGAGAGGAAACATAGACATCTGTTAGAAATTGCTAGAGCTTTACTTTTTCAATCTAAGGTGCCTCTTTGTTATTGGGGAGAATGCATCCTAACAGCTACATTTCTTATCAACAGATTTCCATCTAGAGGCTCAAAGGACATACTCCCTATCATCTACTGTTTGGTAAAGCACCTTCTTATTCTTTCTTAAGAAGTTTTGGTTGTCTTTGTTATGCTTCTACCTTGTCACATAACAGAGGAAAGTTTGATCCTAGGGCCATGGCATGTGTATTCATGGGCTATCCTGCTAGTCAAAAGGGATATAAATTGTTAAATCTCACCACCAGGAACTTGTTTGTCTCCAGGGATGTTCATTTCATTGAACACATCTTTCCCTTCTCCCATATGCCTCAAGACAATCCCTCTACATACCCTAATCCTATTTTTCCTATACCCTCTTCCACCTCAGATACTCCCTCACAACTTAACTCCCCTGTCCCACAAGATTGCCCTACACCTGATGTTTCACCTAGTTCCTCTTCTCACCAGGATACTTCCCCTGTTCCGACTTCTTCCATTTCACTTATACCTCCTTCTCCTCCTGTTCCACTTAGGAGATCTAATAGGGATAACATAGGCACTCTACCTAGTTATCTTAAGGATTATGTCTGCAACAACATCTACCTCACTGATGTCACCACTTCCTGTCTCACCTCTCCTTGTTCCCCCTCTCCCTTTGCTTTCTCTGCTCTCACTAGCTCTAATCAACACCTCTTCCAATCAGTATCTTCTATTACAGAACCTACCTCCTACTCCCAGGCTTGTTCTCACCCTGGTTGGGTGCAAGCTATGAATTCAGAACTTAAGGCTCTAGAAGAGAATCTTACCTGGGATGTGGTGCTTTTGCCTACTGGGAAAAAGACTTTACCCTACAAATGGGTCTATAAAGTCAAACACAATGCTGATGGATCTATTGAAAGACTCGAGGCACGATTGGTTATAAGGGGTGATGTTCAGAGAGAAGGTATTGATTACACAGAAACCTTCTCTCCAGTTGTCAAGATGACCACAATCAGATGTTTGCTTTCTATTGCTGTCAAGAAAGGTTGGTCTATCTCTCAATTTGATGTGAGCAATGCTTTCTTACATGGGGAATTACAAGAAGAAGTTTATATGAGGTTTCCTGCTGGTTTACCTTCCCCAAGTCCCAACCATGTTTGTCGACTTAAGAGGTCTCTTTATGGTTTAAAACAAGCCTCCAGGCAGTGGTATGCCAGGCTTGCAGGGGCACTCAGTTTCAAAGGTTTTTCTGCTTCTCTTAATGACTATTCTCTGTTCTTTAAGAGAACAAGTCATCTTATCTCCATTGTTGCAGTATACGTTGATGATATACTACTTACAGGAGATAATCTAGCTGAATTAACAGACCTCAAAATATTTTTACATTCTGAGTTCAAAATGAAGGATCTTGGACCACTTCATTATTTTTTAGGGATGGAAATTTTGCGAGAAGACAAGGGAATGATTGTTACTCAAAGGAAATTTACCTTTGATTTGCTCCACGAGTTTGACTGCTCCAATCTCCCTTCAGTTTCTTCACCACTGGATCCCTCTTCCAAATTGATTGCTGATTCTGGTCCTCCATTAGCTGATGCTTCTCTTTATCGTCGCTTAGTGGGTAAGCTCAACTATTTGACTCACACACGCCCAGATCTCTCTTTTGCTGTCCTCACTCTCAGTCAGTTCATGCAAAGACCTTGCCTTGGTCATTTCACTGCCGTCTTGCGTGTTCTTCGTTACATTAACTCCACCTCCGGCCAAGGACTATTTCTCAATGCTAATCCCTCTTTGGACCTCTTGGCTTTCTGTGATGCCGACTAGGCCTCTTGCAGGGATAGTCGCCGCTCTGTTAGTGGCTTCTTTATCAGTTTAGGTGGTTCTCCTGTGTCTTGGAAATCCAAGAAACAAGCTTTTATCTCTCTCTCTTTCGCAGAAGCGGAATATCGCTCCATGCAGCGTTTGGTTGCAGAACTCACCTGGTTGACTCGTTTGCTCACAGATCTCTCAGTTCCTCCTTCGATTCCTGTGCCTATTTTCTCCGATAGTCAAGCTGCCATCCATATTGCCCGGAATCCCGTGTTTCACGAACGGACTAAACACGTCGAGCTCGATTTCCACTTTGTGCGGTAACAATTTCTCTCCGGTCTCATCTCTCTATCTTTTGTTCCCTCAAAATTGCAACTTGCTGATTTATTCACCAAACCCTTACCAGGGCCTGCTCACAAAACAATTCTTGGAAGGTTGGGTGTGTCTTCTACCCCCTCCAACTTGAGGGGGGGTGTCGGAATAAATGGATCTATGATCTATAAGGAGAAAGCTTGTGGAAAAGAAAGCATTTTGCAGAAGATGGATGATGAAGAAGAAAAGCTAAGGTTGAAGACGGACAAAACTAAGCTAAGACACAATCCTAATTTTGACTACACTAAGGCAGTCAATGAGCCACGTGGCTTCATCTCAGCTGCTCAAAGTTATGTTGATAGATTAAATCTGGTCCGTCCAAATTACACTCAAAATCTGGAAGATTCTCACATGCACGTAATGTGTCATTTAAAGAAGGAATGATGTGTTAGTTATTTTGTTAGACACACACAAGTAATATTAGGACAAGTGTACAAATTTCATAGGCCATTCTTTTATTCCTTTTGTTTCTTTTCTAGAAATACATGTATATAAATAGAGGGTCCTTGTACAGATGACGTGGCTCATTGACTGCCTTAGTGTAGTCAAAATTAGGATTGTGTCTTAGCTTAGTTTTGTCCGTCTTCAACCTTAGCTTTTCTTATTCATCATCCATCTTCTGCAAAATGCTTTCTTTTCCACAAGCTTTCTCCTTATAGATCATAGATCCATTTATTCCAACAGTTGAAGATAGTGTAACTAGCTTTTTAAGAAGATAAAAATTTTAAACAACTCGGTAATTGCATATTCATTCTAAATGAATTGAGAAGTAAACAAATCTGTGAAGGATTCGTGGTTGTAGAAAATTTTCCTATTATCGGAAAATAACATTGCAAGAAAAATAACCACGCTGTGAAGAAGTCCTTCGCTGGAAAGTTTTTCGATCATCGAAATCTATTTTTTCCAGCCAAATTTTGTAGAACTTTCATCAAACGGTCCATCATATTAACAGCAGATCCCACCATTTATGATTATATTCGTCTTGCATAACCACAAACTAAACAATAATTTCAGATTTGAAAAAAGAAAATTGACAGAAAAAAAAAGAAAATCTAGAAAGAATTTTGTGGGAGTGGGGGTGGTCACGTTTTGGGAAGG